TGCGCTTAAACGTTATTTAGTTGAAGATTAGAGTAAACTGCTATTTCTCTAATCACCCTTTAATCGTTTGCAAATGTCATTGTAACATTAAAACAGCACCTTTAGAGTCAAATCCGCACAACTTGGTCAATTGGAAACGTTTTTGTAATACTTAATGATTGTGTATTTTAATAATCTAGCTGTTTACAGAGAATTACGTGAGTGGACTAAGCCCACACAATAAAAAAACAATTTGATGTGTCAATATAAAAATATTAGTAATTATATATTATATAAAATTTGGATTTTTTTAAAAAAAAAATTCTTGAGGTTGTCAATTTGTCATGATTCGAGATATACAAAAATCCAAAAAGCAAAGCAAGTCCCTTGTGCCAAAATTTCCATCACTATCCCTCCCACCAAAGCACACGGCCCTTTCACGGCCTCTCAATTTGGTCCACTCGAAAGACGACCTCATTAAAATTCCCAAACCACCCTCACAAATCTTATCCCCTTCTCGAGCATTCAACCCCTTTCTTTATGGTTTTTTTGACTTTCTCTGTCGCCTTTAAAAACGCGCTGCAGCCGTCTCTTAAACAAAAACAAAGTCTCCCAAGTTTATTCCTAGTCCAACGCCGACCAACCCCCAATTTAACCCCCCCAAAAAAATTAAACAATCCTTGTATCATCTCTCAATCCTCAAATGAACCCAAATCTCTTCTCCTCTTTCGTCTTCATTTTCTCAACAGCCTTAGCCTTTGCTTCTGCTGCTTATGATCCCCCAATGAAACCTGAGCAGTACCCAAAAATGGACTGCGCTCCTACAAGCTGCGGCAACGTCAAAAACATAACATACCCATTTTGGGTTGAGAAGCAACAGCCTTCTCATTGTGGGTTCCCTGCTTTCAAGCTCAGATGCAATGATCAAACCCCAATTCTTCGAACGTCCTCGGCTGACTACCTAGTTCGAGAAATTTTCTATGAGAACAATTCTCTAGCGTTAGTCAATTCAGCTTATGTGTCCAATCCTTGCCCAGTTCCTCACTCCAACTTGTCTTTCAGTCTCACTCCGTTTAACGTCAGATCGGCGAGTCGAGATCTTGTTTTCTTGTTCAATTGCTCTCCTGAGAGCAATTTTTATAGGGTTGGTTGTGGTGCTAATGATACATTTGCTTGCTGGGGTGATGAGCTGGGTAGTTTTGTGAATTGTGAGAGGGTGATTATGCCGGTTGTGGACTATTCGAATGGAGGTAATGTGACGGATTATGCGAGGATTTTGGGAGGTGGGTTCGTTGTGGAATGGACTGCGCCGGATTGTGCAGAGTGCAGGGAGAGCAATGGGCAGTGTGGGTACAACAATTTGAATGATAATTTCATGTGCATTTGTCCTGATAGAGCCCATTGGAGGAGTTGTCAGCCAGGTATTGTATCAGTTGAGCAATATTTTGATCATTGATTTGCCTGTTTTATTTGTTGGTTTTGATGATTCGGGTACAAAAGTCAAAAATAAGAGGGAATCATTTTCCAATTACTCTCGATAGCGGGTTGTAGAAGTTGAACTTGACAGTTGTTGCTTAATGCTATGTTTCTTTAAAGGGACTTTAAAATTAACAGTGAGACCGGGGTTGTCTCATCCTAAAGGTAGGAGAAAATACTTGCAAGCTTCCGCGTCCGTAGAGACATTCCAAAATTAAGGGCTCCAGGCTCCTAATTTCATGCAATCGAAGTTTGAATACGCATCAATAGTTTATCACTGAAGTTATCCCCAGTAACCGTTGACAAAGCCGTGGTCGTTCTTGCTTCTTCTTTTATGAATGATGTGCTCAAGTGTTTGGTTGTTTACATTTTTTAACTTTGAAGTTCATACTTTAAACATCCTCAAATAGCAGCTACTCCCTACATTTGATTGGTCCTTATCCTTGTTCTCTTCCTACACAATCTTTTATTCACATGTCCATGTTAGAATATAAAATTATAACCGTCGAGCCTCTCAACACTTATCTCAACTTTGGAGTTTTGATGTAATAGCATGGACGCAACCCATGTTCAAATCATGCTGGCTATGAATTCCTAAGAGGATTTCAAAACAAAAAAATTGATGCCTCTATGCGAGTCCAGGTTTCTACCCGTAAAAGGTCCCTCAACCCGCGAGTGCATGCTAGAATGTAAAACTATAACCCTCAACGTGCTAAGATGTGGAAATCTTGGTATAAGTATTCTTATTTCACAAATATTGTTCCACCAGAACACAGAGAAAGCTTTTTGATTGAATGCAAGAACATCTTCTCACTATTCAGCCAATTTGAGAGAGTTATACAAATCAAGATTGAGTGATAAGTCAATATGCACCTGAATCAGATAGCATTTTTCTTTATGATTTACAATTCCATTAGGTCATATTTATTCTACCTGTGGCTTTCCAACTCTTAGATATGCCATTTTTCTCCACGCATTAGAGGATCATGAATTTTTCAGGGTCATGTGAGCTTCAACTCCAGTCCGTCTTAGGTTTACAATTTCTACTAGTGGAATGAATTGAAGAGCACTTTATTATACAGCCTTCCTAATTGCTTGATTGCTCAACATACTTTATTTGAGTGGCCTTTGTCACCTAATGAAGACAATGTGAGCTTTTATGTGCTATTTGCTGGTTTCTCTATTTAAATGGAGCCATACATCGATAGCTTCAACTGGCAGGTGACAAAGAAGAAGTGCAGAAAATCCCTGCAACTATAGTATCATCAATACATAGATTTTCTTCATCACGCATTGCATCTGAAAAGTGACTTCAAATATCGCTTTCTTTGACTTGGTCAAGAATTGCATCTGTAAGTCTTCGCTATGCATTCAATGTCTCCTTTTCTTTTTTGTCGAACATACAAAGAAACAGTTGGATTTCATCATTTCTTGGTAAATGTCTGAGTCACTCCTTTTCCTAGCCCTCATGCCCTTTGTCCAAGTCAATTATTAGTCTTCCTATTGGAGTCTCAGGAGTTCATAGCTAAAATCTGTAACTATAGACAATCTCTAATTTATTTCTCTTATAACAACGAGGAGATATAGTCCATATTACTGCAAATTATTGAGGAATGGTGTCATCTTCTATGACTCCTCTTCTCATACTTACATTGCCTTCTCTTCTTCTTTCCTTTCTTTAATTTCTTGTGTCCAGATCCCTGGAGATGTGATGGCGTTGAGTTTCCTCCCAATCAAAACACCTTACCAGATTCTTGTACAGGGCAACGTGGTGATGTTGGAATTTTATATCCTTTCTTTTTAAACACAGTTCTTCCATGCAAAGGCAATTATAAAATCCGTTGTGATTATGAAACCAACGGATCCAAACCAATGATCAAATTCGATGGTCGTGAGTATGTAGTGAAAGAAATCTTATACAAAGAGAAACTTCTCATTGTTCAGGATCTGGTTCTTGGGGATTACCTTCTTGGTAGACACTGTGGGTTCCTCTTTAATTTCACAAATCCCATCCCTAATTTTAGTTTTCCAACTGATTTACCACTTCAAAGCCCGAGCAAGCCTTTTACAGATTATGAGTGGGAGATTGATACCTTTTATCGCTTTTTCTTTCATAAGTTCGATGATCCTCATTGCATTGTCTATAATCTCTATTACTGGGAGTCTGGGATGAACCAATGGATCGTACTAATTTCACAACCAACTGCCCAGTAGCTTACACAACCTTGTTTGAGTGGGTTCTGTCATTTGGTGCGAATGATGGCACACTTTCTTTAAGATCTACTGGTTTCCTACAGCAGTTTGAACTGCAGGAGGATTGCTTGTACTGTCAGGTGACAGGAAAGAGTTGCAGTAGCGATAGTAGTGCAGGACATTCATCGTGTTCAAGTCAGGACTCAGGACATTTGCAAGCCCCAGGGTAAAAGTTGTACAGAATCTTTAACTTGTCGCGTCCTTTCATAATTCTTCTCTACTAATCTAGACTTTAATCTGCCTGCTTTGAATAATTAGGTTAATTTGTTCATATTTTGGACAAATGGTTTTGAATGTAGACTTCAGTTATCAGCGAGCTTTTGATTCGAATATTAACTGTATTATGACAGTTTTCTCCATTTGGTTGTTTTCAATCATGTAAAATAGTGGAAATCTTCAATTTTGCCCATAATACGACAAGTTAGTCACGAATTCTTTTTCTGTTGGAAATATATTTATGTACTTACTTAGATTTAGTTGAATTTCTTTGATGAACTACAATGCCGCCGGCGATAAGAAGATGCTAAATTGAATGGATTTATGAATCCTGTGACATGAAATTTATGAAAATTTCATTTTTCTGAACTGTGATAATAGTGATATGCACATAGTATCCTACTTTCAGGAGAGATTCTAGTGTTATGATTCCAAACCTTTGGTAGAATTAGTCTTGGTCTTGACTGGCCATAAGATTCCATCTTATCTTTCTTTTAAAAATATAGATCTCATGCATCTGAACTCTTACAAACAAGTTCTGTTATCCAAAGTTAGCTGCCAATCTCATATCTGTCCAATAAACCACTAAAGTATGTTTGGTTCAAAAGTTGCTTTCATTGTCATTGAATTTATTACAACTTTGGTCGTTACAATAAACTCGAATAAAATAAAAAGTTGAGCTTTTTATAAGATCTCCTTACACAATGAAAATAAAAAGTTTACAACTTTATCAAACAAACGCAGAGAGATCATTTATCGGTCTTCTGTTTGTACGGGATCTTTGCCTGTGTCGGGGGTGTCGATATCCGTGGACCGTCTACGGATCAGATCCGGTTGACAAAAAATTGACAGAGCTCCTACTTCATCAAGGAAGTATTCGCTTGAAGCTCTGAAATCGACCAAGCGAAATCAGTAGCTCTTCTCGAGATTAAGACCAAGCCTAATCTCGAGGAACGGACGGACGGGGGGAGATACGGGTTCAGATCATTCGAAAGCCTTCCTCTTTATGCTGAAGTTCGTCGGGATCTGACTTGCATTCGCTGTAAATTCGTGCTCCTTTGACTGCTCAATCTGGCAGCACCTCGCCCTCTTGATAATAATCCCCCCCAGCAAAATGGAGGCCTTGGAATGATATTTATAGGCCTCGGGTGTGGTTATTTGGATAAGAATGAGTGATTTGGCCTTATCTTCAGTTAACAACAACCTAACCACGTTTGTGGATGATATCAAGTCAGTTGGGAACCCCTGGAACAGATAAATCCTAAAAAAACCGCTTTAAAACCGTCGAAAACGCGTTTGGGGGTTGAAATAGCGCGACGGACTCTGCTGACTCGCGGGGGACGCTGGTTAGCAGGGTCTGACCCGCGCTGTCGCGGGTCCGTCGCCTCCGCTGAGTTCTTCTATTTTTGCGTTTTTTTTTCCGGGACTTGTACTTTTCGCTACTTTGGTCGACTCGTTGACTTGTACTCTTCGTTGCGGGACTGACCGTCGAACGCGTCAACTACTTGGGGCTGCACGCGTTGTTTGACATGCACGCGTTGATTGATGCGCACGTGTTGACCGACGCGCACGAACTGATTAGCGTGCACGTGTTGACCGACGCACGCGAGCTGATTGACGCGTGCGTATTGACCGACGCGCGCAAGCTAATTGACGTGCATGTGTTGACAGACGAGTGCGCGGGCCACATGGAGGTGGTTGGTGAGCGCACGGGACGCTTGGTTTGCTATTCTGGTGGCTGACGAGCGTGTGGGCTACTTGGCGTTGGCCGTTCTGGTGGTTCGTCGCCGCGTCATCAACGTTTCGCCGATTCGCTTCATGCGCTTGTCGGCGTCAGATAATCTTCTTTGACTCGGATAATCCGCTTCGACTTGGATAATGACGTTCATCGCCTTCTCTTTGTCCCGAGCTGTATTTGGGGATCTATAGGTAATTTTTGACGCCTACAAAGTATAACATAGGTTTCATATTTCAAGAAAAGAGAGATTTTCTTGTCAGAATAAGTGCATCTCAAATTTTTTCCACAATGAAAGCTAACTATTTAATGGACTCGTAGCTAGTGTCCAATGGAGAAGACTTTGACAAAAGACTGGCTACTATGAATCATTGTATTTACACCCGTCCCTATTTTCCTTTGATTATTGGTACCTATTGAGAAAGACACGTCTGCATAATTTCTATTTAGTTTAATAATTTTTTTCTTAGTTGAGACATGACTTCAGAAAAAGTTAGCTCATGGTTTATTCCATCTCCATAATCTTAGTGCTTTGTTTCTATGTGAGTGTGAAACTCTCTTAATTCTCTATGTAAAGACTTGTAATTCTACACGCGTTGGTCTTTTCATACCAAATTTTAGGCCGGTTCAATTTAGATATAGTTGGGTTTCTTCAAATTTTCCTTGCAACTTCTTTTTGTTCCTTCTTCCAAAGCTCTTGAAAGTTTGTCCTGGTGATAAATTGACTTTATTCCCAAAGGAAAGAGAGGGACCCAAACTCACTTCTTTGCCCAAATTTTCTTCCATCAACAAGTCCAAGTCAATAGTTTGCCAATGAAGGGAATTCATATTCCATGGTTTAATGACGTTCCAACTATTTTCTTGCTTCTCTTTTATAAGGCAAGAACTCAAGCGTCTAGTAATTGGACGTTCATATGCTTCTATGTTCAATGGCTTTTCCCTTTGTTTACTTAAGTCTTTTTCCTCCTTTTCTTACTTCCCGGCCTTTCTCTCTCATGCTCAAAGGTAGAAAGATGCGGAGATATTGATATCAGATACCCTTTCTTCACAAATACTACTCTACTTGACTGTGGAGCAATTTTGCACATAGAGTGTGATTACGCAGTACCGATGATCCAATTTAAGGGTATTGACTATAAAGTTACAAACATCTCTTATCCAGACAATGTAATCACGATTCAGGATCCGATACTCAGCGACTTCTTATTTGACACGCACTGCAGTTTTCTTTTTAATTTTGCAGTTCCCATCAGTTCTTTTGATTTTGCAAATCGCCCCAACTCTACATGGCCACCCCTTCTGTTGCACACCGGAGATTTATGAGTCTTTAGTCAATTTCTTTCATTCAACCTACAACTCGACTAGTTGCAGAGATTACAGTCTACTATTGGAATGAAACAGAGTATCTCTTAAATAATTTTAATCCTGCAAGCTGCAGTGGTTCCCGTAGCACGGTCTTTGAGTGGGCGCTTTCATTTAGTGAAGAAAATGGAAACATTTCTTTTTCACTAATATCTGCTGGCTTTTCATGCCGATCTGTACTAAGTAAGGTTTTAAATATCGGATATCGGGAAAATATCGGATTGCCAAAATTCATATCGGATTGCGGATATCAGTGATATATTGGGGATATGTGGTAAATATCGGAATGCTATAACAGATGTTTTCATATATAGTATAATGCACTAAAATGTAATCTTTACATACTTATGAAAATCTAAGCATACAAAATATAAATAATATATGTTTAGGATCACTAATCAGCATTGTAAAACAAATAAAAGCACAAATCAGTGCTGCAACATATGGATTGATTTTTTAAGGCCAAAATGTCATTTGATATAATAGGAAAATTATAATAAGTCACCCAAAAATTGCCAAATGCTGTATATTGTTTTGTGACAAGCCATATAAAAGCATATATCGGCCAACATATTGACTAATATATCGGTCATATCAGGGATATATCGCACAAAATACTCAAAAAAGCGGTAAAAGATATTTGGAGACTATATCGGTCGCGGCAAGCCCTATAAAAGGATATATCAGGGGATATATCCGGATATATCGGGCCATGTCGGGGATATTTAAAACAATGGTACTAAGCAAGTAATGCTTCAACTGTCAATTCACACAAAAGAACTGCAGTAGCAGTGATGATGTCAAATGCAAGTGTGAGCCTAGTTGCCTGCATATTGCAAGTAAGCGAAATTCCTTAGCTTTTGCCTCATGCGAAAGTAGTCTAGATTTTTTTGAAGTTTCTATTACCAGGTGATCTTTGACTAACCTGCACTTGTAATTCATAGTACATATTTTGTGAATATGCTATGAAATTTGATTATTACAAAGTTTTTAGAGTTCGGAGGATTTTGTCTGAGATAAAACTCTGTATGTGTGCAATAGTTTACAAGAGTAGAGAATTTTCGCTATGTTCTTCCTTACTATGTTGGATAGTTAGGATTAAACCTACTCATTTTGTTCGAGTGGATTATGTCATTCAACAGAGATAGCTGCAGTGTGCTTCTGGCTGTTGGTATTTGTCCATTTTGAACTTGTACTTGTAAATAAACCTTGTTATTAAGCATATAGAAGTCGTGTTTAAGTGTTGTTTAAATTATTGTTCTCTTAATTTTGACTATTAACTATCTGATTTATCAAACTATGTCTACAGGAGACTCTGTCATGATCATTGCTCAAATTGGGCCTTTTTTGTGTCAATCTTCTTTTGTTCGAGTTCTAAACTCTAATGTAAAGTTTTTATTTTTAATTATTTCCTTACCTCTATATTTGGTGTTCTTTATTTTTCAGATAAAGGAAGTAACACATCAAGGAACACAATTATCGGAGTAGGTAATGAACATAATGCTTTGGACCTCTTTTTTAATCTTAGAAAAGCTCCTCTTTCACTACTGATTATTGAAATTTAAGGCTATTTTTGATAAATGCGTCATGATGTTAAGGTGATTATTTAAGATAGCATCATACTTTCCTCCTTCAGACTTAAAAACAAGTGTAAATATGAATATCTGGTGTGATGATAGAGCATGATGGTTTTCATCTTAGCGACTATAATTCATAGTTTTCTTTCCATATGTGCCTCACCAGCATAAATCCATCTCCGTGATAAATTTCATAAATTGAAAGGCGGGAGTTTCCAGATTTTTTCCCTCCCCGTTTTCAAATGTATATCCATGTACCATCTATCTAATTATGTACATTTGTATATATTGTTTGTGATTACAGGTGCTGGTGGTGTAGGATTCTTGATCCTTGGATGTGTTCTAGTTATTTTCTTGTACAATCGCAGGAAAAAACAGCGTCAATCTAGCTCATCAAACCTCCTCTCTCGGAACACTTCTACGAAAATGTCATCCAAGAGAGACCCTGAATTAGGTGACGGAAATTATCGTACGCACATTTTCTCCTATCATGAGCTCGAGGAGGCCACCAATGGCTTCAATGCTTCCAGAGAGCTTGGTGATGGTGGATTCGGTACTGTCTACAAAGGTAATTCCTTTTTGACTCCTTCAACTGGTTCTACTTTATGACCATTTAATAGTACGAGATCGAACTTGGGCTCTATGATTTTCCATTAATTCTTATCCATGTCAGTTATTTTGCATTTCTTTGAGTCCATTGTTGCCAATAATTCACTCTATTTTCCTTTTAGAATCTTTCAGCACCAATGTTTCTGTAGTTACTGACAGAATTTCTGTAATATCAATTTAGGTAGATTGAAAAGATTCTATAATGTCTCTGATACCAGTTGTTGGGAATTTAACGCCTAAACCCCTAATGCAACAGAAACGCGGTATAGAAAAAAGTACACCAAGATTTAACGAGGTTCGGCAACTGCCTACGTCCTCGGGAGCCACACAGATAACTTTTTATTAATTAAACAAGAAATTACAATTTAGGAGCAGATCTTAAAACTGAGATTTCTCAAATAAACACTGTAGCTACAGTGTTAATAAATAAAGGGTATGAACCCTTACAATTCTCACTTGAGAATAAATGAATAACCCCACTTTATAAATCCCTCTTTAATTTCCTCTAGTTCTCTCTCTTCTTTAATCCACTTCTTAATCTCCCCTCAAAACAATTTGAGAGCTGGAGATGAATGAAATCACTGCTGTGATTTAATTGGAAACGCGACTGCGTTTTGGGGCTTCGCCGCCAGAGAAAAATCGGAGGAGAAGGGAGGGAGAAAAACGGCAGCAAAACCCTAGGGCCAAAGGGGGTATATATAGGTGGATTGAAGGGCTGGCGACAGCTCTGTCGCGCAGCGGTCAAGCGCGACGGAAAGGTCAGTCGAACATCAAGAGCAAGCGGGGGGGGTTTCGAACGCCGACTTTGAAGAGTGCCGTTCGCCGAAGTGTGCGTTCGCCGAAGGTGTGCGTTGCCGAAGGTTGCGTTCGTCGAAGGGTTGCGTTCGTCGACTTCGCCTGCGTCATCTCCGCCATTCTCGAGCTCGTCGGAGCTCCTCCGCCGTCGGAGGTTTGGTTTCCACCCCCAAATCTAACAATCTCCCACTTAGAGACCAAACTGACGCCAGTAGGCTATCTCATCAAGCTCCTCTCCTGTGTGGCTCCACCCTCATCATCTATGCATGAAAGCCAACTGAAGTTGCGCACAACTCCAGTTTCTGAACAGTCACCGTCTTTGTTAACATGTCTGTTGGATTCTTACTTCCTGGAATCTTTTCCAGTTTCAACACGTCATCTTCCAACAGGGATCTGATGAAGTGGTACCGAAGCGCAATATGCTTCGTTCTAGAATAAAATGCTGAATTCTTCGGAATTCTTCGCCAAGTGTATCGCACTCTGGTTATCACTGTGCAAAACATTCTTCTCATGTTTGAATCTCAGTTTTAACATACTCAACTTCTGTACTAGATAGGGTAACGATCTTCTGTACCTGTGACATCCAACTAACAGCTGTAGTTCCGACGGTGAATACATAGCCAGTAATGCTTCTTCGGTGATCGACTTCACCGCCGAAGTCTGCATCTACGTACCCTTGCACTTCCACCTCTCCCTTACTAAAGTGCAAACACTTCTGTGTGGTGCCTCGTAGATATCTCAGAATCCACTTGACCGCTTCCCAATGAGCTTTTCCTGGATTCGACATAAACCGGCTGATCACTCCCACTGCATGCACAATATCTGGTCTCGTACAGACCATTGCATACATCAAGCTTCCAATAGCTGAGGCGTAAGGAACCTGAGATTGCATACATCAAGCTTCCAATAGCTGAGGCGTAAGGAACCTGAGCCATACTCTCTTTCTCTTCTTCTAACTGAGGAGACTGATCCTCCGATAGACGAAAATGGCTGGCCAAGGGTGTGCTCACAGGCTTGGCGTTGCCCATGTTGAATCTCTGCAAAACACGGTTGATGTACTCCGTCTGAGACAACCGCAAGAACATTTTCTTATTGTCTCTCGTGATTTGCATTCCAAGGATCTTCTTTGCTGGACCCAAGTCCTTCATGTCAAACTCCTTTGACAGCTGCTTCTTCAAACTCCTGATATCCTCCATATCTGCTCCTGCAACCAACATATCATCAACATACAGCAGTAGGATGATATAAGCTGGACTGATAATTTTTGAAGTAGCAACAGTGGTTGGCGTTGCACTTCTGGAAACCTTCATTGTGCATGAAGCCGTCAAACTTCTTGTACCACTGCCTTGGGGCTTGTTTCAGGCCATACAAGCTCTTCTTGAGTCTGCACACCAGGTTCTTCTTCTTTTCTTCTGAGAAACCTTCTGGCTGGTGCATGTATATCTCCTCTTTCAGATCTCCGTGAAGAAACGCCGTCTTCACGTCTAACTGCTCGAGATGAAGATCTTCAATTGCTACAATACTCATCACGGTCCTGATAGTATTTAGCTTCACCACGGGAGCGAAAATATCGGTGTAGTCAATTCCTTCCTTCTGCTGGAAACCTTTGACAACTAGCCGGGCTTTATATCTTCTGGAACCATGCTGCTCCTCTTTCACCCGGTACACCCATTTATTGTGAAGTGCCTTCTTTCCCGTGGGCAACTCAGCTAGTTCCCACGTCTGGTTTGAGATGAGGGACTTCATCTCATCTTTCATTGCAAGCTCCCACTTGCTCGCATCTCCACACTGACAAGCTTCATCAAAGCTTTCAGGCTCCCCACCATCTGTCAACAATAGATAGTTCATGTATCTCCTGTTGGGTATAGGAGGACGAGAAGATCTTCTTAATATCGGAGCTGGTGCGTCGGGCTCCTGCGCATCATCTTGTTCAACAGGCTCTTCTGGCTGAGGACCCTCTGCATTGGGTTCTTCCGAGAGGTTAATCGGGACATCATCTGCATCTACAAATATTGACTCGCTCTCTGAGTCATCTGTCTTGTGCATGTCCTTGTACATCACCTTCTCGTTGAATATCACATCTCTGCTCCTGATAACCTTCTTGTTTTCGTTGTCCCAAATGCGGTAGCCGAACTCATCTTCACCATAGCCGATGAAAGTGCATTTCTTTGACTTGGGATCAAGCTTATTCCTGCCTTGATCACTAATATGCACGTAAGCTACACAACCGAAAACTTTAAGATGTGAGAGTTTTACCTCCTTTCCGCACCATACCTCCTCTGGTATTCTGTGCTCCAATGGAACCGATGGACCTCGGTTGATCAAGTAAGCTGCTGTGTTGACCGCTTCTGCCCAGAACTGCTTCGGTAGGCCTGATTGTACTCGAATGCTTCTGGCTCTCTCCATCAACGTTCGGTTCATTCGCTCAGCTACACCATTTTGCTGAGGCGTGCCGGGCACGGTTCTCTCCATTCTGATCCCGTGCTCATAGCAGAACTTCTTGAATCCGGTGTCTTCATACTCACCGCCATTGTCGGTCCTGAGCTTCTTTATTCTCAGACCAGTCTCATTTTCGACCATAGCTTTCCATCTCCTGAAAGCCTCAAATACTTCTGACTTATGCTTCAGAAAGTAGACCCACACTTTCCGAGAGTGATCATCGATAAAAGTCACGAAGTAGTGTTTCCCACCAATCGACGCAGTGGTGGTTGGTCCCCAAACATCTGAGTGAACGAGCTCTAGCTTCTCCTTCCTGGGGGTTCTGCCACTTGTCTGAAAGCTGACTCTCTTCTGCTTTCCAAGTATACATTCTTCACACATATCCATCTCCACTGACTGCAGTCCTGGGAGTTTCCCCTTTGTGTGCATGATTTTCATCCCCTTCTCACTCATATGACCGAGTCTCTGGTGCCACAGCTTTGAGGTCTCATTGCTAGCTGCAACTGAGATCGAACAATGTGCACCTGCTGTCATATACAGGGTACCAGTCTTCTTGCCTCCGGTAATTGTCATTGCGCCCTTTGAGATCTTCCAATCATCTCCATGGAAGGTCGTAGTGTATCCTTCGCCAGCCAGCTGGCCTACGGATATTAAATTCTTTCTCAGGTCGGGAATATGCCTGACATCCTTCAGCTCCCATACTGACCCGTTCAACTTAATTTTCACCACGCCTTTGCCCACTATAGCACACGGTTGATCATCACCAAGATATACGCAGTGTTATCGAGGCGCAAGGCGTAATGCGGGGCGCAAAGGTCCCTTACGCGCACCATGCACAAGGCGCACAACAAGGCGCGCGCCTCACTAACTGAGGCGCATAACTCAAATTAATATTTACCAACATCATAAGACAGAAACATATAAGCAACATATTAGTTACCTACATCCAAAATTATGAGAATATCAACTTAAATCATCAATTATGCTAACTGAATTTTTAAAGTAACAAAAAAGATACAAGAAACATGTATTTAAATCATCAAATTAAGTGATTAACAATTATGAGCATATGTTTATAAATTGTCACATAAAAAGACTAAGAAATATAATTAACAAACATGACTGTTTATAATTTTCTAGTTAGTATTCTTAATTGATATTTGCTACTTAGCATGAAAAGATGAAGAATGAATGTAACAATTACATATTTACATGTTTATAATTTGCTATTAGCATGCTAATTAGAGAAGGAAGTTACAATTAGCAAACAAGTATACTAAATTACTAATTATTGTTTTCTTTTTATAGGTTAAACATAAAAAGATGAAAATAGATTAGCAACTAGTAAGAAAGAGTATATTACATGATATAAATATGTAATTATGTAAATTATTTAAAAAAAATAGAAGAAAGAGTATGTTACATAACACAGGTGCGAGGCGCACGCGAGGCGCGAGCGAGGCGCACGCGAGGCGCGAGCGAGGCGCACGCGAGGCGCGCGCCTCGCTGCGTGCAACGTCCCGCCTCGCGTGCGGGGCGCATTTCGCCCAGGCTGAAGCGCCCCGCGCCCGGGGCGTGCCCGGGGCGCGCGCCTCAATAACACTGGATATACGTATCCAAGTTTTCCGGGGGTATACTTCTCGAAGAATTCTTTCTGAGAGGTAGCATGGAACGACGCTCCTGAATCTAACACCCAAGATTCCTCCTTGCTCTCCAAAGAGCATATCAATGCGTCGTCTCCTCCTGAAGTGGAAGTGACATTCACCTCTGCCTTCGCCTCCTTCTCTTTCTGTGCACTCTTGCACTGATTCTTGTAATGCCCGGTCTTTCCACAATTCCAACACTCGATAGCCTTCGAGCTGTTGCTTGAATTTCTTGATTTGGACCTCCTGTCATTTGATCTACCTCTGTAGTTTGATTTTCCTCGTCCGTTTCCTCTGGTTGAATTTCTACTTCTTGACTCTGTATGCAATACTGAAGAGGTTGTAGCTTCACCAGTCTCTCGCCGTCGGATCTCCTCACTGAGAACCAAATCACGAACGTCGCCGAACTTCAATTTTTTCTTTCCCGACGAGCTACTCACAGCTGCGACTGTAGCGTTCTAACTCTCTGGTAGGGAAGATAAAAGTATCAACGCCCGAACTTCATCATCAAACTCAATCTCAACTGAACTCAATTGGGTTGTAACCGTATTAAGTTCATTGAGCTGTTGTGCTACTGACGCGCCTTCCGCCATTTTCAGATTGAATAACCGCCGCATCAAATGAACTTTGTTCGCGGCTGATGGCTTCTCATACATGTTTGAGAGTGCTGCCATAAGACCTGCCGTGGTCTTCTCCTTCGCTATGTTGAACGCAACATTGCGAGTCAACGTCAATCTGATAACTCCGAGGGCTTGTCTATCCAGAAGGTTCCACTCTTCTTCCTTCATGGAATCCGGCTTCTTCCCCGATAGTGGTTGATACAGATTTTTCTGATACAGATAATCCTCTATCTGCATTTTCCAGAATCCGAAATCTGTTCCATCAAATTTCTCAAGTCTTATTTTCCCTTCATCTGCGGCCATGGCTCCCACTTGAATCTGACTTCCTTTAGACAGTTTCACGCTCTGATACCAGTTGTTGGGAATTTAACGCCTAAACCCCTAATGCAACAGAAACGCAGTATAGAAAAAAGTACACCAAGATTTAACGAGGTTCGGCACTGCCTACGTCCTCGGGAGCCACACAGATAATTTCTTATTAATTAAACAAGAAATTACAATTTAGGAGCAGATCTCAAAACTGAGATTTCTCAAATAAACACTGTAGCTACAGTGTTAATAATTAAAGGGTATGAACCCTTACAATTCTCACTTGAGAATAAATGAATAACCCCACTTTATAAATCCCTCTTTAATTTCCTCTAGTTCTCTCTCTTCTTTAATCCACTTCTTAATCTCCCCTCAAAAAACAATTTGAGAGCTGGAGATGAATGAAATCACTGCTGTGATTTAATTGGAAACGCGACTGCGTTTTGGGGCTTCGCCGCCAGAGAAAAATCGGAGGAGAAGGGAGGGAGAAAAAAAACCGCGGCGAAACCCTAGGGCCAAAGGGGGTATATATAGGTGGATGGAAGGGCTGGCGACAGCCTGTCGCCAGCGGCTAAACCTGACGCAAAGGTCAGGTTCGAACGCAGAGTTCGGACCCCCCCAATAAATCGTCAGATTCCTGGGGCCTAAAAGGAATGGAGAAAGGAGTAGAGAATTTACAGAAAGTCTAAGGGCTTAAACAAATTTCCTTTCCAAATTTAAGTCCTAGAGCTTTTCGTCTCCTTTTTTTTAATTACATTTTTCATTGTTTTGTTCTGATGCGTGCATCTTTCTTTCCTCTGAGTTTCTCTACAACCATGGATGTTGAGGATGCTATGGCGATCTCACAGAGCAACATAGTATCTATCACAGGACACCACTGGATTGGATTGGCTACTTCATGGGCAGTTCACTTATTTTATATGTATTTAAGACACCGCTAGAATTAGGATAGGATACGACTAAAGATGATGATCCTATGAAGCGCCCACTTCAATGGTCTTATAAGTTAAACGATGACATCACTGGGACAAAATCCTGGCTTTGTCACTGCCTTCTCCTGTGGGTAAATGTTTGAAAACAACTAGGTTAATGTTTGAAAACAACTTATATAATTACTATTAGGCAAACTGGAAATTTCTTGTAGTCTTGCATACATCCTCCCTTTCTTACTTGAAAACTGTTCAAAACCTGATACCTTCTCCTTTTCCAGGTAAACTCAAGGATGGACGAACAGTTGCAGTCAAACGCCTTTACGAGAACAACTATCGCCGACTTGAGCAATTCATGAACGAAGTTGATATTCTCTCCCTTCTACGGCACCCGAACCTTGTCACCCTCTACGGCTTTTACGAATTCGTTTCTAACGGCACCTTGGCTGACCACCTGCATGGCGCCCTTGCGTCCAAAGGAGCACTCCTGTGGCCTACTCGGATGTCCATTGCCATCGAAACCGCCGATGCCCTTGCCTATCTCCATGCCATCGAGCCCCAAATCATTCACCGTGATGTCAAAACCAACAACATCCTTCTCGACAGTAACTTCCATGTCAAGGTTGCAGATTTCGGTTTATCGCGTCTATTTCCCCTCGACGCTACACATGTGTCCACCGCTCCACAGGGCACTCCAGGATATGTCGACCCTGAGTATCACCAATGCTATCAGTTAACTGACAAGAGCGATGTCTACAGCTTTGGAGTCGTACTGGTAGAACTCATATCCTCAAAGCCTGCTGTGGATATCAGTAGGCATCGGCATGAGATAAATCTGTCCAATATGGCGATAAATAAGATACAAAATTGCCAGATTGATCAGTTGGTTGACCCTGATCTCGGATATCAGACACATACTGAGATCAAGGGAATGATCAACCAGGTGGCTGAGCTGGCATTCCGGTGTCTACAGCCGGATAGAGATATGAGGCCTTGCATTAAAGAAGTTCTTGAGGTTTTAAACGGAATCGAAGGTGGAGGACACAATGGCGATAAAGAGGTGGAGGTGACTCAAGTTCAGGCGAAGGAGGAGAGTCGTTTGCTGAAGAACGTTTCACCATTTTCGCCGGATACAGTTACAGAGAGATGGTCGAGCGAGTCCACAACACCTAACACTAGTGGTTAAGGTATATAGCCTGTATTTGCATTTTGTTCGTTCAGAATTGTCAGTTTGATTAACAAATGTAGAGTTGAAGCTTTTATTGCTGTAGTTGATGAAATCAAGAGGAATGTACATAGTAAATAGAGTTCCAATCACAATGTTATGTATACATATATATAAGTTTTCCGGATTTTTGGTTATTTGATGGTACTATTAGCCATTTTTATCTGTAAATGTTGATCGCTTGGAAATGTAAACTTCGAACTATCAGCCATTTTTATCTGTAAATGTTGATTGCTTGTAAATGTGATTTTCTAAGAACATACCGTGGTGTGTAAATTTGTTCTGTGATTCAGTAGCAAGTCAGCCCATTGAAGTCTTCATCTGAGTAACTCACGTCTTCTAACTCATCAAATATAATTCAGAACTTAGCAACCTGTGTTTGGGTAACGCGCGTTTCATCACCTACCATCGGATCAGAAAAATAAGGCTATGATACCATGTAACACAACATGGAACTTATAATCCTGAGAATCCACAAGGAATGCTCTTCGAAAAAAAACAAGTAACATCCTCCAAATCCACGAATAATTTCAAATCCACAAAGAAAAATAATATAAGAAAATTTTATTGATAAAAGTTATATAATCTACCCATACGATTTATGATTCTTTTGCTTAAATAGAAAAACAAAGACTGCTCCTAATAGAAATAGAAACCCTAAAATAAGAAAGAATTTAAAACTATCTAAAAGACTCTCTATTGTTGAAAACGGCGAAGAAAAACAAGACGTACACAGGAGGAGGCTCGTCGGTCGACTGATCGGGTTTGATCAGTCGACCGGTTCGATCGCGAGAAAATTATAGGGAGTTTCGGGTCGGTCGACTGATCGAACATGATCAATTGACCGACAACATGCACACTACAGGGTTTGGAAATCACGTTCTGATCGGTTGACCGATGCATCCTTATCGGTCGACTGATGGAGGCCTACCGGTCGACCGATAGAGGTGCATCGGTTCCTTATCGGTCGACTGATGGAGGCCTACCGGTCGACCGATAGAGGTGCATCGGTCGACCGATAGCGGGTTATTGGGCCGATTTTGCTTTCCTAGCCTGTTTTAGATTGGGTGTTTATATATATATATCAAGCATGTTTTCTAGGATTTAATCAGAGAATTTGGATTTGTTTGAGCACTTTGAGAGGGAGATTACTGTGAGGGAGTGAGTGATCATTGGTTAGGCTTATCTTGAGAGTTTGTGTGAGTTGTAACCCGTTGTTTTCTCCTCCATATAGTGAAATCTCCCCCATCCTCTCCCTGTGGACGTAGGCAATTTGCCGAACCATGTAAATCTTTGTGTTTGTGTGTGATTTTGGCCGTTCTTTTGTGAATTGCACTCGTTAGTTGTTCTCCTCTCATTGCTCGACAACTCGTTTGGTTTGTGCGCACGCTTCCGCCGATGCGCAACAGTTGGTATAAGAGCCCTAGGGTTTCAGACCTAGAGTTTGGTTTGGGTGGATGAAATTTAGTGTTGGAAGCTTGGGTTTCGGAGATCTCGGCTTCGGTGGAGATAGCGTTGCGGAGTTGCTAGTGGAGATCTCTCCTTCCTCGTGTGGTTGAGAGTTCATATTGGAATCCAATCTGTTTGCGTCGAAAGTTGCTATTTTCATTGCTATCGAATCTATTACAACTTTAGTCGTTACAATAAACTCGAATAAAATAAAAAGTTGATCTTTGTATAAGATCTCCTTACACAATGAAAATAAAAAAAAAGAATTTACAACTTTATCAAACAAACGCAGAGATCGTTTATCGGTCTTCTGCTTGCGTGAGATCTTTGCCTGTGCCGGGGTTTATCCGTGGACCGCCTTTGATCTGGATCCGGTTGATGAAAAATTCGGCAGAGCTTCGTCTTTACCGAGGAAGTATTTGATTTGAAGCGCTGAGATCGACCAAGCGAAATCAGGGCTCTTCTCGAGATTAAGACCAAGCTTAATCTCAAGGGACGGACGGGAATGGGTGCCGGATCTCTCGAACTCTCCTTCTTTATGCCGAAGAACTCGTCAAGATCTGTCAACCCTCGCTGAAATTCGTGCTCCTTTGACTCCACAATCCGGCAGCACCTCCTCGTCTTGATAATCAATCGCCCCTCAGAAATGAGCACCCGAGCTCGTATTTATAATGTTCAGTTAATAACTGATTAACCATGCTAGGGGATGATATCAAGTCAGTTTGGATGCTCAGGAACGACCAAATCCCGAGAAAAACCGTCAAAAACCGAACTGGGGTCGAAACAGCGCGCGCAGGAAAAATCCGCCTCGCGGTTACTGTAGCGCGGGTCGAAAAAATCCGACCCGTGATTACTGTAGCGCGGGTCGGAAAAATCCGACCCGCGGTTACTGTAGCGCGGGTCGGAAAATTCCGACCCGCTGTTACTGTAGCGCGGGTTAGTTTGAGATATCTGCGGTATTTTGGTCATAACTCTTTCGTACGACCTCTGATTAGGCTGATTCAAGATGCGTTGGAAAGCTAACGAAGAGATCTACAACTTTTATGTTTTGAGATTTTTCAGATTCAAATCGCAGTATAGTCAAAACTTCACTTCTTTGTACGGTCAGGTCACTGTAGCAGCCAATCCGACCCCGCGTTACTGTAGCAGATAATCCGACCCGCGTTACTGTAGCAGCTAATCTGACCCTGCAGTACTGTAGCACCAGTCCGACCCGTGCACTGTAGCAACCATCCGACCCGCGGTTACTGTAACAGCCTTAACTCACTCATCCGACCTCGGAATGAGGTGATTCAAGATGCGTTGGAAAGCCAACGAGGAGATCTACAGGCTCCCATAATTGAATCATATTTGGAATAAATGGGACACGAGGGGTGCTCCGCCTTTTGTAAACGACGTGGAGCTCCCGATCAGCTCTCGTTTCCGTTATTCCGAAGTTCCGTTGCTTTGTATGATCCGTCGACTCACTTCATGTATTTGTCATTGTCAAACGAGCTCCTGCGACTCTAATAGCGATGTTTATCATCTTCTCTGTCTCGAGCTGTGTGCGGACACCCATAGGCATTTTTAGACGCCTACAGATACCCCCTCCAAAGTATTTCAGACTCATTCTTTTATAAAGGAGTCTGGAATGCTTTGGATATGATAGGCCATCTCCGTAATTAATTTCTTCAGCCTTCAATCTATTCATTGTTTCATCGAATAGATGAAGTTCTTCCGGCGTTGCGTTTATCGTCTGACCGTTGTCGAAATCTTGAACTGAGATTGGTGTGTAAGTTTCTGAACTTAGCTCGTGCCATTGAGTTGACTTTGAACTGATCATCTTCGTCAGAAATTCATATCTGAATCTGATTGAACTCCCTGAAATCATTGTTTTCCTTAATTTGGCAAGATTGTTGATGCGTTGACTGGCATCGATCTTTACTGGCATCGATCTTAAGGTATTGGAGCGTGACGGTCCCAAATGTTGGGCTGCAGGACCAACTATTAAAGCTGATTCATCTGCATGTATGGATCTTATCCCGAAGTCGTTGGATGCTCAATTCTCGAGATCAACTAATGAAGCTGATACGTCAATGACTCACGTTTATAGAATTTTTGGCAAATTCTCAGCCATCAACGGGTTTGATAAGCCTTTACCGACTACCGTTTGAGTCGGGCTAGCATGCAGATTGTATAAATCCGTTCTGCACATAACGTTGTGCTAAAAGAGTTAACTCTTTTAGTGCTACGATATTGAATACGTAGACTTCGTCTTTCTCCTGTGAAAAGACTAAACAGCGACGTGTATCAGACGTAGACTTTAAGGTTTTTGGCAAACCCTCAGCCTTCAACGGATATGGCTTGCCTTTACCGATTACCGTTTGAATCGGGCTTGCATGCGGATTGTTTAAGTCCGTTCCGCACGTGACGTTGTGCTAAAGGAATGAACTCCCTTAGACTTGATGCTACGATATTGAATACGTAGACTTCACCATTGTTACGGGAATAGGCTACCCGACAACGTGTATTAGACGCTGACCTATCCCTACTTAGGCTTCGGGATAAAAGTCCCCAGATTGGAATTCTGGTGTCTTCTTCAATCGGTGAAAGACTAAACCGACAACGCGTGTTAGGCGTTGACTTATCCCTACTCAGGATTCGGGATAAAATTCCCCATGCATAAAAGGCATGGATTTTTGTTGCTACGATGCTGAATACGTAGACTCGGTCATTTTTACGGGAACGAACCACCCAGCAACGCGGGTTAAGCGTTGACTTATCCCTACTTAGGCTTCGGGATAAAATACCCCAGACTAGATTCTGGTGTCTTTTTCAATCAGTGAAAGACTAAACCGGCAACGCGTGTTAGGCGTTGACTTATCCATACTCAGGATTCAGGATAAAATTCCCCATGCATAAAATGCATGGATTTTTGTTGCTACGATGCTGAATACGTAGACTCAGTCGTTTTCATGGGAACGAACCACCCAGCAGCACAGGTTAAGCGCTGACTTATCCCTACTTAGGCTTCGGGATAAAATACCCCAGACTAGATTCTGGTGTCTTTTTCAATCGGTGAAAGACTAAACCGGCAACACGTGTTAGGCGTTGACTTATATCTACTCAGGATTCGGGATAAAATTCCCCATGCATAAAAGGCATGGATTTTTGTTGCTACGATGCTGAATACGTAGACTCGGTCGTTTTTACGGGAACGAACCACCCAGCAACGCGGGTTAAGCGTTGACTTATCCCTACTTAGGCTTCGGGATAAAATGCCCCAGACTAGATTCTGGTATCTTTTTCAATCGGTGAAAGACTAAACCGGCAACGCGTGTTAGGCGTTGACTTATCCCTACTCAGAATTCGGGATAAAATTCCCCGTGCGTGTGAGGCACGGATTTTAGAAGTTTGAAAAAACGGAGTCTTCTCTTGGGGCAAAGACGAACCCGATGCGGGAGAGGAAGAATTTTACATTCTATCTCCCAAAGCTGAAGAGGAAGATTTTTATATTCTATCTCCAGTTACAATTGAAAACTCAAAGTGGGATCTCTACTTCAAGAATCCGAGAAGGTGAAACTAAGAGTGGGATCTCCACTCCGAGAATCAAAAAGATTCGGATAATCCTAACTGTCGGAAGGTTTGATTATCGAACTAAAGATGAATTTCTCGTTTATCGAGAGTGAATTCTGGTTTTGATCCTTACTGTAGGAAGGTTTGACCAAGTGGGAGTTTGAGGTGACCCTAACTGTAAGAAGGTTTGATCACTCGATTTGAAAGTGGACCTCTCGTTCATTGGAGGAATCGAGAGGGGATTTTGATTATGGTC